ATGATTTAGGAATCTATGTAACAGGATGGAAAATAAATTTTCACAAAAATTTTATTTATGAAATTTAAAATATAATTGTGCATAATTTTTGTATTTACATCAACTAGTTAAGAAAAATGTCATTCTTTGGAGAATATAATTCTTCATTTATTGCAGCTACCTATTATCAAATTTTTCTACTCATCTGTTATTAACTATAATGAGATTTTGCAAATTTTACATATTTCATTTTTGAAAATTATTTTCACACAAACAGGTACTTCCAAATACTACAGTTCACAAGCATATGATTTTAATTGAGAGTATTCATTTTTTGGAAGGAAGTTGTAGAATTCTATCAGATTTTCTCTTTATATTTGTCTTTTAACATGACATTAAATTGAAGATAAATTATTTCTAAGTGAAGGTTATATGGGCATCTCACATCAGCACAATCAAATGGATTTTGAAATGTAGAAATTTCTTGAATCTAAGTGTACAATATGCTGCTGAAACTGAGCTCAGAAAAGCAACCCACTCTAAATTGAATTGTAAAGGACATTGGCGTGGCATCTCATTAGTCAATCAAGAAACAAGGCAAATGTTTCTGAGTGATTATCTTTAGATCTTGAAGAATCAATACAGTACTGCTCAGGTGTTCATTCAAGGAGTCCAGGCTGTTTTTTTCTTTCAAAGATTTAATTGACTTATTTGCAATGCAGAGTTATGAGGAGAGGGGGAGACAGAGACAGATCTTCCATGTCCTAGTACACACCCCAGATGGCTACAACAGGCAGGACTGGGCCAGGCTGAAGCCAGGAGTCACTGTGTGACAGACGTGTCACTTCTTGTTTTAATTTGATAGCATGGGAAGTACATAAAGTTCCTTAACATTAATTTTGGTTCAAACATAAGTTATTATCAAAATGACTTTACCACAGTATCCATCCCATATATAAATACCCTTTTGCTTTGTGATTTTAATTCATTTATAAACATTAAAAAGTCAGAAGTAAAACCTAATTTCCAAAGCCATTCATTGTTCACTTGTATTGAGGGTAGTTTATCTCATTCAAAAAAAATTTTAATCTCAGCCCCCCCAAAAAATAATTTAAGTAAACATGACCCTTTTTAAGCCATCAGACGTCTGTGTAATAGGACAAGTCAGGCTGTTCCATTTCTATTTCTGACAAGGTAGTCTCAGAACCAATGAAAGTTAAACTCACAAGAGCCAATTGAGATTACTGTTGACAATGTGGGTTCAATAACAAATGCTAGATTCAAACATTTTCCTTAGAGTACCTGATGGCAAATAATACAATGAATATTCAACCTTTAAACACTTTATGTTTTCAAAAGCTTTGTAAATCTGTCCCAAAACTCTTTGGATCCACAGCCATCAGTTTTATTGCATCATTGTAGGTTCCACTTCAGATTGTAATGATTTAGTATATTCTTAACTTCAAAAATATTTTCAGGGCTGGCTCTGTGGCATAGCAGGTAAAGCCTCCCTGTGCAGTGCTGGCATCCTATATGGGCGCCAGTTCGAGTTCCAGCTGCTCCACTCTGATCCAGCTTTCTGCTATGGCCTGGGAAAGAATGAATGGCCCAAGTCCGTGGGGCCCTGCACCCACGTGGAAGGCCTGGAAGAAACTCCTGGTTCCTGGCTTTGGATCAGCACAGCTCTGGCCAGTGCAGCCAATTGGGAAGTAAACCAGTGGATGGAAGACACCTCTCTCTTCTCTGCTTCTCTTTCTCTCTCTGTATAATTCTGATTTTCAAACAAATAAATATTTAAATAAAAAGAAAAAATATTTTCACATATAGCATCCCACAGATTATTCATACCAATTACTTCTTCAGTCACTTAAAACTCAGCATGAAGCCGGCACCGCAGCTCACTAGGCTATTCCTCTGCCTTGCGGCGCCGGCACACCGGGTTCTAGTCCCGATTGGGGCGCCGGATTCTGTCCCAGTTGCCCCTCTTCCAGGCCAGCTCTCTGCTGTGGCCCAGGAGTAAAGTGGAGGATGGCCCAAGTCCTTGGGCCCTGCACCCCATGGGAGACCAGGATAAGTACCTGGCTCCTGCCATCAGATCAGCGCAGTGCGCCGGCTGCAGCGCACCGGCCTCGGTGGCCATTGGAGGGTGAACCAACGGCAAAGGAAGACCTTTCTCTCTGTCTCTCTCTCTCACTGTCCACTCTGCCTGTCAAAAAAAAAAAAAAAACTCAGCATGGGGTCTGGCATTGTGGCATAGCGGATTAAGCTGCCACCTGTGAGGCTGGCATCCCATATGGGTTCCAGTTCAAGTCCCAGCTTCTCCTCTTCCGATCCAGCTTCCTGCTAATGAGCCTGGGAAAAGAAGCAGAAGATGGCCCAAGTCCTTGGCCTCTGTAACCATGTGAGAGACCTGGATCAAGCTCCTGGCTCCTGACTTCAGCCTGGCCCAGCCCTGCCTGTTGTGGCCATCTGGGGTGTGTACTAGGACATGGAAGATCTGTCTCTGTCTCCCCCTCTCCTCATAACTCTGCATTGCAAATAAGTCAATTAAATCTTTAAAAGAAAAAAACAGCCTGGACTCCTTGAATGAACACCTGAGCAGTACTGTATTGATTCTTCAAGATCTAAAGATAATCACTCAGAAACATTTGCCTTGTTTCTTGATTGACTAATGAGATGCCACGCCAATGTCCTCTACAATTCAAGCAACTGTTCTTGCCAAAAAGCTAACAATCTAATACATGTTTGTTTTTGCTACAGAATTTTTTTTTTTTTTTTTTTTGACAGGCAGAGTGGACAGTGAGAGAGAGACAGAGAGAGAAAGGTCTTCCTTTGCCGCTGGTTCACCCTCCAATGGCCGCCGCTGCAGCCGGCGCACCGCGCTGATCTTGGCAGGAGCCAGGAGCCAGGTGCTTTTCCTGGTCTCCCATGGGGTGCAGGGCCCAAGCACCTGGGCCATCCTCCACTGCACTCCCTGGCCATAGCAGAGAGCTGGCCTGGAAGAGGGGCAACCGGGACAGAATCCGGCGCCCCAACCGGGACTAGAACCCGGTGTGCCGGCGCCGCAAGGTGGAGGATTAGCCTATTGAGCCACGGCGCCGGCTTTTGCTACAGAATTTAATTTAGTCACCATCAATAATGGACTTTCCTTGCTGGGATATCAAATAGAACACTCAGAAACTTACTTTAGCTGTGGCCTCATTTTCATTGTTTGTAAAGAGATTTGGCTGTGATAAGATATTCCATTTTTAATTTTCCAGTTTTTGTTTTTAAAAAGACTTAATCAAAAGGAAGAACAAAAGGGAGAGACAGAGAGATCTTCCATCTGCTGCTTCACTTCCCAAGTGGCCATAATGGCTGGGCCTGGGCCAGGTGGAAGCCAAGAGCCTGGAACACCATCTCTGTCTCTTATGTGGGTGGCAGGTACCCAAACACTTTGGCCATCATCCCCTGCTTCCCATGCACATTAGAAGGATGTTGGATTGTAAACTGAGCAGTAGAAATTCAAACTGGCACTCTTCTTTAGGATGCTTGTATGGCAAGTGGTGGCTTAATCCATTATGCCACAATTCTAGCCCCAAGTTTTCTAATTTTTCTGACTGTTTCAGTCCAGTGACATAATAATATAGTGTTGAACACTTGGTCTGATAATGTTGATATATACTCATTATACATAGCTGTAGTGTCATTACATAATTGACACAGATTTTGCCATCTAATTTGTTAACAAAACACTCCACATTCCATTGTGCCTTAGAAACACAATATTCAGAATCTACTTTTCTCTTTTTTTTTTTCTTGTGTTGGCAAGATAGATATGCACTTGTTTTAAAAGAAATAAAATGGCACAGTAAGACAATATATGGGGGCCAGTGCTGTGGCATAGTGGGTAAAGCCGCCACCTCAGTGCTAGCATCTCTTAGAAGGTGGCCCAAGTCCTTGGGCCCCTGCACCCACATGGGAGACCCAGAAGAAGCTCCTGGCTCCTGGCTTCAGATCAGCCCAGCTCCAGCCATTGTGGCCAGCTGGGAAGTAGGCTAACAGATGGAAGACACCTCTCTCCCTCTCTCCCTCTCTCCCTCTCTCCCTCTCTCTCTTTCTCTCTTTATCTCTCTCTTTCTCTCTCTCTGCCTCTCCTTCTCTCTGTGTAACTCTGACTTTCAAATGAATAAATAAATCTTTAAAAAAAAGACAATATATGTTCCACTTGAAACACTGTCATGTAATAACTGCATCAGTGCACTTTGTAATACACCAAGAGTGCAAAGCAATGAGAGTGTCACATAAGATCTCTGCCCTAACTACTCAACTCTGCTACTGTAAGACAGAAGCAACCATTAAAAATAAATGAATGAATGAACATGATTGTATTCCAATAAAATTTTATTTATTACATAGTTTTAGTTTCATATAATTTTCACACATTTCTAAGTATTCTTACTAGTTCTTTTCAAAATTTCAAAATGTAAAAACTTTTTAATAGATGAACTATACAAAAATCAGATGACGAATTGGATTTGGCTTGCAAAACATGGTTTGCCAACTTTGATTTAGGATTTGGTTTTAAGGATATACTGTTTGCTTGCCTAGCTTTATTTGCTATCATTTACTATTTTAATAAATTTTATGTAACTATGTGTGGTTGAGGAATAGAATCTAATTGATTATAAAAGTTGCTAAGTACACCAGAGTAAAATTTTAAAAACAAAAATAATATACTTCACACCCAGGTTGGGTAAGTCAGAAAGTACCGGTGGCCTTCGTACTGTCTCAGTGTTTCCATTTTAAAAACCCAGGACGATTGCATGAACTATAATTAGAGGTTTTAAGTGATCCATAAGTGCTCCCAAAATATTATTTAAATGTTTCACATATTTGAGGAAGAAGTCCTGAATATTCCCTAAACCTGAGCAGTTTTTCAACTGCAGCCTTTCAGAACACAACCCTTCCTACGTGTATTGAGCCTCCGGATTGATTTTCTAGGAACTTCTTAGTTTTTATGTCTTATCTGTGTGTTTTAGGGCATCAGAGGCAGCCAAGGGAAACCAGGACTGAGTGGGTCTCCAGGACCTCGAGGAGTAAAGGGTTCATCAGGCCCTCCAGGAAGTGCTGGAAGGCTAGGCCCAAAGGTACTGTAAAGTTTGTTGTGCTGAATGAGCAGTGTTGGCCATCCTTACTGGCCCTGGTTTCATCTAGATCACTAGATGTAAGGTTAATAGCATTTAATAAAATTTGGCTAAAAGTAAAAACACATTATAGACAAAGGAAAGTATGTGACCTTACCATTTCCATTCCCTGTGATGGCACTCCGGACTAACAGTGCTTTAAAATATGCTATCTTTGACTCATTTTGATTCTTCTACCTTCTCTGTCATCTACCTTTTGCTCCCAAACAGTGAAATCTTATTTACTTCGAATATTTTATTTCTCAAATGCATTTCCTGTTCCTCAAAAAGCTAAACCTTGGTAACAAATTGATAAATCTGATGACAAAACAAATTATTACTATTACTATTAGTAATAATAATAACTATAATAATAATAATAATAACTATAATAGTAAAAGTGCTAGTAATTAAGTGTTTCATTAATGTTCATTTCATATAGGACAGGGATCAGGAACAATTAAGATACTTATAATATCATTTGTGCACCATACAAAATTATCACCTTAAAAATTCGCCTGCTATAGATTTTTATTGAATTTCAGCTCCTACCTGTGTTTGCCATGGCAGAGGCAGACCAAATGATTTTGTGGGCCTTCTACAGCCCATGGCCTAGACATTCCCCACCCCTGATATAGGGCATCATAACATTAATAGACATCCCAAACAGAATCTCTCCAAGAAATGCAAGATTGACCCAGACAATAAGATTAGTCCAATGTCTAAAGCCATTTTATAAAAGCCTAGGAGTGAGACATCAGTACCCTTGTCATTATTACCTCTTAAGTTGATTTTAACAGTTCTAAAGAATTTTCAGATTCCTGACACACATAAGTAAACTGAAAATGATTGTTCAGTTGCTTCATTTTTATGATTTTAGCCTGCTCTCAACAAGTTGTACCATGAAAATTCCTTTTCATTAAAACTAAAGTCAACTGAGCAAATGCTGAAACTAGGAAAAGAAATTGGAAAGATTACTATCTCTTATATGTGAATCTGCAGTAAAAAGTGTACTTCTTATCTCAAAACATTAAAGAATTTTTGGCCAAAGTCTACCAAACATTATTCTTCATTAACCTATCTCTAAAATTCACTTATTTTAAAGTTTATTTTTAGAAATGGAATGAAAGATATTCCAACTCATTCCAAAAACAAAATATAAAAATAAATGAAAAATGACTTGGCTTTTTAAAAGATATAATAAAGTAATAAGTACATCAATAAAGTAAACTTTTATGACATATAGACAATTTATATCAAAGGAACCTAGAGAAGCACATGATGGGAATTTCTTAAAGGTGGAATTGAGAGGATAGTCATGCCAAAAAAACAGGCCCACACCAGGATTCTGCACAATGGTAGCAGCTGCAGCATTCCTGGATGAGAGAGGACAATAAATCAAAGTAATACAAATTCAAGTACAATGCAAGTTGCATCACATATAACCACACCCCACACCCTCACCATCCTCTCTGTAGCCTTACGGTACAGTGTTCTTCCTAGTTTTATAGGTCTCTCTTACCTCTTCTTTCTTTTCACACTTATCACCTTGGTCTCTGGAATCTTCTTTCCCCATTGCTATACTTCTTATTTATTATTTTCAAACATAATGAGAAAATGATCATGCAAAATTTTATTTCTTCAATGCCTTGTACTATACCTACTGTGGACTTGTATTTGGGTCTCATTTAAAAACCAACATGTTTGTAGGTTCTGAAGTCAAGATCACCTTTCTTTGTTCTGTCCACAGGGTGAACAAGGACTACCTGGTCAACCTGGAATTCAAGGTAAAAGAGGTCACCGAGGAGCACAGGGTGATCAAGGACCGTGTGGAGATCCTGGCCTTAAGGGGCAGCCTGTATGTGTCAACTCAGAAATTCACCAAGCACTTACACTGTATATCAGGCCACTGTTGTACAGTAATATTTAGCATGTCTGTTCACATTGCAGGGAGAACATGGTGATCAAGGCTTGACAGGTTTCCAAGGATTCCCAGGCCCCAAAGTATGTTCACATATTTTTCTGCTAGTTTTCTTAACTATCTAGAAAAAAGAGATGTTGAAATATCAATAGTCTCTGACTTGAGCTGTTTTTTAATCTATAAATTCTCTGTTGGTATAAAATTGTGTTATAGTCCTTCAAAAGGTTCATGGAAAATGGAATTAAAAGATAAATTTGTTGAGGTGGAGCATTGTAGCACCATGGGTTAGGCCACTGCTTAGAACACCCATATCCCATGTAAGAGCAGCAGTTTGCATCCCGGCTCCTCTGCTTCCAGTCCAACATCCTGCTAATGTGTCTGGGAAGGCAGCAAGTGATGGCCCAGGTACTTGGATTCCTGCCACCCACAAGGAAAACCTAGGTGCAGTTTCTGGCTCCGATTTTGGCCTGGCCAAGCACAGCTGTTGCTGGTATTTAGGGAGTAAATCCCTGGATGAAGGATCTTTCTCTCTCTCTCACTTTCTCTCCCCACCCTCTGTCATGCTGCTTCTCAGATAAATAAGTCAGTCTTTTTTAAAATGTAAGTTTGTTTTGGTGCAAAAAAAATTTTTGAATCCATGCATGCAAAGGTTCTTCAAAAAACTCTTTTAAAATGTGTGTTACAGGGGAAAAAAACGTACCTATATTTTCCATGAGCATCCATAAAGTACCTTCATATACTTGAGTTTTGAATATGCTAATTTTAAAGTTTATGTAACTGTATGTTTTCCTAGCACTTTCATTGCATGATTTTCTTTTGTTCCCTCTAATTCTTTCTCCCAAGAAGTTTATATGAACATTTTTTAAAAATTAATTGCTGGAATTTATTGTCAACTTCTTTTTTTTAAAGGTTAATTTATTTATTTGAAAGTCAGATTTACACAGAGAGAGAGGAGAGGTAGAGAGAAAGAGGTCTTCCATCTGCTGGTTCACTCCCCAATTGGCCGCAATGGCTGATGCTGTGCCAGTCCGAAGCCAGGAGCCAGGAACTTCCTCTGGGTCTCCCATGTGGGTGCAGGGCCCCAAGGACATGGACCATCTTCTACTGCTTTCCCAGGCCATAGCAGAGAGCTGGATCGGAAGTGGAGCAGCCAGGACTAGAACCGGTGCCCATATGGGATGCCGGCACTTCAAGCCAGGGCATTAACCCGCTGCGCCATAGCGCCGGCCCTAAATTATGAACATTTTTAAACATGAAAAGATTGAGACTTTAACACTGGACACTAACATCAAATTGCCTAAATTCTACAATTAACCTTTTACTCTTTCATTATCATGTACCAATGCCTCTCTTTTTTTCTCTCTGCACCCATTGCTGGTGTGTTTCTCAATAAATTACAGTCCGTAGTGTACTTCACCCTAAACATTACAGCACCACGTCATTAACTATCATATTCCACGTTTTAAAGAACCAATTGTTGGTAGTATTGGTATGAGATCATTTCATTTGTAAGGTGAATTTAGCTTTACAGCTGAATACCCTGACTTTTTTTTATTGTACGTCTAGGGTCCAGAGGGGGATGCTGGCAGTGCTGGAATATCAGGTCCTAAAGGCCCCACGGGACTGAGAGTAAGTGCAAAGTCATTCTGCCTGCCCAGAAATTTTGCTTCCTTGCTTGTTGTTAGCACTCTTAAATCACTAAAATTAGTAGCCTCCAAATTAATAGCTTAATAAAATCTCTTTTAATATAGAAACTCCTAAGAGCACATGTAGAGTTTAACCCTTTGCATTTCAGAGATGAGTTTGAGCAAAATACTCCACAGACCACCCATACTTCCCAGTTGTTATTTTTTTAAAAAAAAAGAATCATCAGAATTGCTGTGAAGACTGGATAACATATTTATTAACTCACACCAGGAAAAGGTACAGAAAGCCATTTAATGTCATAGTGTTAATACAAGCACAGACCAGAGACCACCCCCATGCACCACCTGGAGGACGCTTGCCTGTGACCAGAGCTCTTCAGACCACACCTTGACAAATAGTTGTGTTTTCCCGGCTCAGGGCAGGCATCCCAAGAGAGTGTTGAGGAATTTCTCAAAGAGTTCCAAACATCAGAGTCTGAAGAACTCCAGTGAACAATTTAGTGCCTGTAATTGCAAACTGCCAATAATATAAATAGGACAAATATGCCACCAGCAGTTACTGGTTATAGTTTTTGTTTGCTGCTTCCCTATTTTGTTTTAGTTTTTGTTCATCACTGGCTTCTAGTTGATGAAATGGTCTATAAATCTGAACAAGAAAAAATGTTGAAAAACTTCAAACAGTGGTTGGACTGTAGCAGTAGCACCTCTGTGACTAATAGCAGCTGCTGAGGTCAGTGTGGAGAGAATGGAGGGAAGGGAAGCAAGAGGAAGAAAGGAGCCTTGAAGACATCTACAAGGAAACCTACTGTCTTGTACAAAATATTAAATAAAAAGTCAAATTTCTGCAATTCTATACCTCTTTTCTATATCTTACAATGATTTCTCAATAATACAAAGAGCAGTGTTGTAATAAGACTTATTTAAGACCTTCTGAATATTTCTCTGGGTATAAATGTTGGTTGCTCTCATGATTTTCCAAAGAATCAATGGCAAATTGGTGCTCTCATGTAAGTTAAATTCTTGATTATCCATGGTGGATATACATGGATAGACTTCTCTGTAGCAAATATTACTTTTAAGTTCTTATTCATATTGTTTCCCCACTAATGAAATCCATTCACTCTAGTTTTATTGGGTTCTAAATTAATTGTGTCCTTTTTTGATATTGTTAAAGAGAAGTTGGCTGCCTGCCTAGCACCTGTTCTAAGCAGAGTCTCACTAAGCTAAGTGTCTCTCTGGGCCAAAATCTGAGTCAGAAATCATTCATTACTAGTAAAGTTCTGGTAACTAACTCAGAAATATTCATTTATAAGCACAGATAATGGTTTATTCAGTCATTATAGGAAACAAGTGAAATGTTTTGATAGGTTGCTGTTATGTACCAGGTACTGGTGTTCAGATTGTGAAAATCCTATGATAGATGCTAGTGTACTCATTTTACAGGTAGGGAAATTAAGCCTCTGAAAAATAATTTACTGAGGAACAATATATGACTAGTATATATATAGAACCTACTATTTGAATCCACATATGACTGACCAAATTATATGTCATAAGATTGCTTCCTAACTGCACTATTACAATATAGAATGGATATTAAGTAGCCTTCTTCCTAAGGCCTGGCTCCTGACTCCACCTGCCTAGTAATGAAGACTCTGAGAGGTAGCAGTGATAGTTCAAGACTAGAATTCCTGTCACTGAATGGGTTACCTAGATTAAGTTAACAGGCTCCTGGCTTTGGCCCAGCCCAATCCCTGCTGTTGTAGACATTTGAAAGCTGAACCAGGGCATGCGTGCTCTCTCACTCTCTCGCTCTCTCACTCTCGCTCACTTTCTCTCTCTCTCGCTCTCTCTCTCACTCTCTCTCTCACTCTCTCTTTCTCTTTCCCTTTCAAATAAATAAATAATTTTTTAGAAAGTCTCTTGATTTGATTGTAAATCTTTGAAATTTGGGTACCATACTTATAAATTATTACTTAAGATCAATATTTGTATTTAAAAATGATCCCTTTAGATTTACTTCTAAAGTATCAGGCAATTTCTGTTATTCTAGGACAACTTAATATTAAAGCTGTCAGTTGATAAACCACATGGCATTACAGTTACCTTAGTTGATAGTATTTTCTGTACCTCTGCAGGAGTTGGAAAAGAGAGAGCCTGCTATATATATATATATATATATATATATATATATATATATATATACACATACACACACACACACACACATTTATGTATTCTAAATCAAGGATGAGCTGTAAAAACTAATTTGTAACTGGTGGGAGTTGGGGTACAATTTTTGGAAACATTAAATTGAGAATTTTGCATTCTTTGAGAAAAGGTAAGCTGTATGCCTAGTTTGGGAGAAATAAACTAGATAGCCAGCTTACTCAAGGTTATCTGTATAATCCAATTCATAGTTTAAAAAGGACTCCTCATACTTAATTCTCACAGTAAGCCTGGAAAGTAGGCATTCTTATTCCTATTTTTTTAAAGATTTATTTCATTTATTTGGAAGACAGAGTTACAGAGAGAGGTAGAGACAGAGAGAAAGGTCTTCCATCCACTGGGTCACTCCCCAGATAGCCACAACGGCTGGAGCTATGCCGATCCGAAGCCAGGAGCCAGGACCTTCTTCTAGGTCTCCTATGTAGGTGCAGGGCCCAAGGACTTGGGCCATCTTCCACTGCTTTTCCAGGCCATAGCAGAGAGCTAGATTGGAAGAAGAGCAGCCAGGATTCAAATCGGTGTCCATATGGGATGCCGGTGCTTCAGGCCAGGGCTTTACCCACTGTACCACAGCACCAGCCTATTCCTATTTTTATAGATGAAGAAACATGTTTATAAAGTTGATCATATGTAATACCTTCTGGTTCTTTTCGTACCCTCTATTACATGTTTCATGTCACTCAAAATCTACTTCTCAGCATCTATTTAGAAATCTATTCAAAAATTTGTTCATCATTGTGTTTTTATATAGTCTCTTTTGTTATGTAATGGCATATATACAAAATCCATTATTGAAGTTATCACCGCATAAAAATTATCATCCTTGTTTATCGATTTGTTAGTAATTATACAATTGTTGCTCTCCTGAAAGAAAACTATAGTAATATGCAGAGTTGTGTCATACTATTAATGAAGATTACTATGATTTGTGCTAATACTATATGGTTTTAGAACAAAAGCTGTGATTGTGCAAATATGGCTATTTTACCATTGCAGAGAAAATTGCTGGGATTTTTCTGAATTCTACTGCTCATGAAACTAACAGTTTTTCTGTTACCCCAACAGGGAAACACTGGCCCTCTTGGCAGAGAAGGCATAATAGGTCCAACAGGTAGAACTGTAAGTTTGTCACAATATTTTTTCCTACTCTTATTTTTTTCTTTAATTTTATTTCTATAATAATCTATAAAGGCTAAGCCTGTGTGTTCAAGACGCAAAGATTGTAAATAAATGTGCAGTTTCTCCTGGAAGGTGATTTCGGAGATGTCAGGGATCATATTTGCAGTGAAGAGGGGATAAATAGTGAGTTAGGCACTTAAAACTGGAACTGAGAAGAGAGAATAGAACTGAAACAGGGAGGGAAGGATGCCTTCAGCATAGAGTGGATCACTAAAGCCATAAAAATGTGCCTGTTTTCTAAAGGAGAGGACATAGATTGCAAAAGAAGTGCAGACAGCCAAGATTTGAGTCTTTGGAAGCACTCTCTATAACGGAAAGCAAAAAATAGTTGTTGGGAATAACAGGGAAATCAGGGCAAGAAAGGAGTTGTCAGTGATCATCTTTGTGAAAACAAGTTGCAGATGGAGTACAGGTTGCAGTGAAGAATAAAGTAGATTAAAATAGTAACTTTTCTCAAATTCTAACAGCTTTTACAGTGGATACTATTATTTCCATTTCATAGATGAAGTTCATAGAAGCTCACCTAGTCATTCAAGGTGATGGAGCTAGTGAATTTCATGGCTGATGCTTCTTAATTCAAGACCAATGATGTTTTTACCCCTTTCAATCTATGTCTAGAGGAGAAACTGAGAAGATATTTGCCAGTGATTGAGATATTTACCAATGACAAAATTAGGGTGGTGGTCACGAAAAAGTTTTACAATGCTGTTAGTTGTATGAAGAGGAGAAAGAGCACAATCTAAAATAAAATTGAATCTCAGAGATGAAAAATTTATTCCTTGCAGAGAATCAGTAATGTTGAGTCATTTGAAAGTGTTATTGATAGCCACACAGAGTTTAAAAGTATAAAAACGGTATTCCTCAGGTTCTAAGTACAGCTGTTCTCTTTGATAAATTTAAAGGAAATTCACCACTAAAGTTCTTGGATTTCTAATTTTAAAAAATGTACAACTCAACATTTCTGTAGATTTTCAGCATTTGCCACTCAGAACTATCAAAAATTGTGAGAGAATGCTCATGTTTCAGTGGGTGGTTCTTCAGCAAGCTAAGGAACACATACTGTTCTGATTACAGAATGATTATTCTCCTTGTCAAAAATGTGAACTATTAATTGTCAAGGAAAATGTGATGCAGAAATGTCTCAATTAAAATATTTTACTGGTTTTATTTATAGGCAGTTCTTAAAGTCTCTTACAATATTTAGCCTGCACATCAGATTTTTCCCATTTTCCATTCAAAGAGGAAAAATTCCTTGTGAAAAAATAAGCATTTGAGAATAACAAAAACATTGTGAAAAAATAGTTGGGGGGGCATGAGGAACTTGCTTTTCCAAATAGGACGATACTGCAAAGTCATTGTAAACAAAATTATATTGTAGCACAAAGAGATAAGTAAATAGATTCATATAACATAATAGGGCCCAGAATTAGATTAAATATTTAATTATAATAAAAATGATATGTCTGTTAGGATGAGTTGGGCTGTAACAGAAATCCTGAATCATACTGGTTGTAACAATTAGGAAATTTATATATCATATTACAGGAAGTCCACTGGTTAAGGAAATCTTCAGATTTGATTATTTAGTGACTCTGTCATGATGTCCAAGACCAAATTCTTGCCATATCTTTCTACTGTGCTATCCTAAATATTGGCTTCATAATTATACTTACAGAAAGATGACCACAGTTTCTCAGGAGTCACATCCAGACAAATTATCCAAGGAGGGGAGGGATTTTCTGTAACACTATCATGGGAAAAATTAAAAATTTTCCTGAATACTCTCATTGCATTTTTCCACATGTCCCATTGACCACAATCACCAGTGACAGGAAAGTGATATGTAGTTACTTTGCTACAAATAAACTGGAAGCTCATTTCCCTTAAATAAAATATATATAAAAAGTATCAAGAGAGAGGGTTGAGGGGAGGAGTGTGCTTGTCTTCTCAGAACTGTTTCTATGGAATGCATGCCATCTGTTCTCTTTATATTAATAAAAAAGAAAAAGAAAAAATATGAAATGACTTTTTAAAGTCTAAACAATAAAAATCCTAGAAAACTAGAAAATCAGAGTATACAGGCTTCAGTGTTGAGGGGACCTATTATATAAAGTGGGAAACCTGATATGGTCATTTATCATGCTGGTGAAGATGTCAGTTAAGACACTTGAATCTCATATTGGAGTACTTGGGTTCCATATCTGGCTTCAGGTCCTGACTCCAGCTTCCTGCTAGTGCAGACCCTAGGATGCAGCACTAACGATGTGAGTAATTGGGTTCCTGCCGCCCACATAGGGGACCTGAATTGAGTTCCTGGCTCCTGGCTTTACGCAAGCTCAGTTCTGGCAGTTGTGGGTATTTGGGTAATGAATCAGCTGGTGAAAGAGCTTTCTCTTCCTCTCTATTTCTGCTTCTCAAGTCATTTTTTTACAGAGAGAGGATTTTATGTAGTTCAAAGGCAGAGTTACAGAAAGAGAAAGACAGAGAGGTCTTCCATCTGCTGGTTCACTCCCCAGATGGCTGCAACGGCCTGAACTGGGCCAGGCCAAAGCTAGGAATCAGGAACTTCCTCTGGATCTCCCACACCGGTACAGGAGCCCAAACACTTGGGCCATCTACCACTGCTTTCCCAAGGCACATTAGCAGGGAGCTGAATCAGAAAAGCAGTAGCCAGGTCTCCAACCACCACCCATATGGGACGCCAATGTCACAGGTTACAGCTATACTCACTACACCACAGTGCCAGCCCCAGGTAAGTCTTTTTTTAAATAGGAAAACTGAAAATGATAAAGGGATAAAAAAAAAAGTTTAGATTCTTGAATATTTTAAAATTGTAGAAAAATGATTTCATAGATAGTCAAAAATCAACATGGATTGTAAAAAATATTTTCAGTGCTAACAAGATATGACGTGTTAGTATACAAAGAGCCTTTACAAACTGGATTTGAAAAGCTAGAAAACTCAGTGAAAAAAAAAAAGAAATCCAAGAGGTCAACAATTATTTTAAAAGATGCTCACCTCATTTCAGGCATGGAAAGCCAAGATACTGTGGCAAAAAAAAAAAAAAAAAAAAAAAAATCCTACATGAAAGATCTCTGTGAGTGAGACCCCAGTGGAAAGAAGGAGCCATCAAAGAAGAACAAAGAAGAATGTAGTTTTCTCTGAAGGGAAGAGAGAACTTACACTTTGCTTATGGCCTAGCCTAAATACTGATGGAGACTGTAGACTCAAAAGGATTCCATAGCCTTGGCAACTCATGTCAAGAGCCTCGGGTGATCACTGACATCATACATAAGAGTGTTAATTGTTAAATTAACAGCAGGAATCACTGTACACTTACTCCCCATGCAGGATCTCTGTCCTCAATGAGTTGTACTATGAGAATTAACTATAAAACTTGTTCTCAAACAGTTTTTTTTTATATATTTTGTGTGTGTTTGTGTGTGCAAATCGTTGAAATCTTTACTTAGTATAGAGTTGGTCTTCTGTGTGTAAATTTAATTGAAAACCAATCTTAATGGAGAATGGGACTGGGATTGGGAGAGGGAGAGGAAGTAGGGAGGGAGTGGGAGTGGGAGGGCGGGTATGGTGGGAAGAATCATTATATTCCTAAAGTTGTACTTACGAAATTTGTACTCATTAAATAAAAGGTTTCTAGAACAAAAAGATGCCCACCTAACTTTATATCAAAGAAATGCAAATTGGCCAGCGCCACAGCTCAATAGGCTAATCCTCTGCCTTGCAGCGCCAGCACACCGGGTTCTAGTCCCGGTCGGGGCACCAGATTCTGTCCCGGTTGCCCCTCTTCCAGGCCAGCACTCTGCTGTGGCCCGGGACTGCAGTGGAGGATGGCCCAGGTTCTTGGGCCTGCACCCCATGGGAGACCGGGATAAGCACCCAGCTCCTGGCTTCAGATCAGCGCAATGCGCTGGCCACAGCGGCCATTGGAGGGTGAACCAACGGCAAAGGAAGACCTTTCTGTCTCTCTCTCTCACTGTCCACTCGGCCTGTCAAAAAAAAAAAAAAAAAGAAATGCAAATTAAAATGAGCTATTGTATCTATCTTTCATAAGAAAATATTATACTTTCATTTATCACTGGTAGAAACTTAAATTATAGCCTTTATGGAATGAAATTTGTTAAAATGTAAGTATGTACACTCTTTACTCAGCTGTTCCACTTTGAGTAATTTGTCTAATAGAAACAAAAAGCACCCAATATGCTAGAGGAATTTTCAAAGATTTTTTTTCCTTTCACAATAGTGTTTGTATTGGCAAAACAAACAAACCAAAAAATGCTGAATGCTCATCTGTAAAGGAATGGCTAAACAAATTGTGGTCTATTTCATGAAATAGTATGCAATTATTAAAAGCAACTATATATCGAAGTAGGCTAACTCTCAGTTATTTCATGATTGTTAAGTGGAAAAGCATGATTCATAAAAAAAATACATAAATAATACTATCCCAACATTAGAAAACCTGCCCAGGTTCTCCTATACATATGTAAATATAGTTGTCAATATCTGATATTAGAAGATATGTTTCATACTAGGTTGGAATACTAGGTTGGAAGTGGATGAGAACTTTTTTAATTGCTTGTTAAGATATTAAATCAGTTTTTAAAAGTTAATGTTGTAGTTTAAAGTGGACTAGAAATAAGACAAGAAGCAGAACTAATATTAGTGGCAAGTAAATAATATTTTTAGCTTACAAGAGTAACAGAGAACATGCCATAAATCAAAAGAAATATATATGCTCATATTTTGAGTTATACATGCAATTCCAAACAAACTTTCTGGGGATAAATTTTTTTGTTTTTGTTTTTAATAGCCTGAATATGTTTTTTTTTTTTTGCTTTCAAACTTTTATTTAATGAATATAAATTTCCAAAGTACAGAATATGGATTACAATGGCTTCCCCCCCCATAACGTCCCTCCCAACTGCAACCCTCCCCTTTCCCACTCCCTCTCCCCTTCCATTCACATCAAGATTCATTTTCAATTCTCTTTATATACTGAAGATCGGTTTAGCATACATTAAGTAAAGATTTCAACAGTTTGCTACCACACAGAAACATAAAGTGAAAAATACTGTTTGAGTACTAGTTATAGCATTAAATCCCAATGTACAGCACATTAAGGACAGAGATCCTACATGAGGAGTAAGTGCACAGTGACTCCTGTTGTTGACTTAACAAATTGACACTCTTGTTTATGGCCTCAGTAATCACCCTAGGCTCTTGTCATGAGCTGCCAAGGCTATGGAAGCCCCCTGAGTTCACTGACTCTGATCATATTTAGACAAGGCCATGGTCAAAGTGGAAGTTCTCTCCTCCCTTCAGAGAAAGGTACCTCCTTCCTTGATGACCCATTCTTTCCACTGGGATCTCACTCGTGGAGATCTTTCATTTAGGTTTTTTTTTTACCCCAGAGTGTCTTGGCTTTCCATGCCTGAAACACTCTAATGGGCTTTTCAGCCAGATCCACATGCCTTAAGGGCTGATTCTGAGGCCAGAGTGCTGTTTAGGACATCTGCCATTCTATGAGTCTGCTGTGTATCTCACTTCCCATGTTGGATTGTTCTCTCCCTTTTTTATTCTATCAGCTAGTATTTGCAGACACTATTCTTGTTTATGTGATCCCTTTGGTTCTTAGTCCTATCATTATGATCAATTGTGAACAGAAATTAATCACTGGGACTAGTAAGATGGCATTGGTACATGCCACCTTATGGGATTGAATTGGAATCCCCTGGTATGTTTCTAAGTCTACCATTTGAGGTAAGTCAGCTTGAGCATGTCCCGAATTGCACATCTCTTCCCTCTCTTATTCCCACTCTCGTATTTAACAGCAATCACTTTTCAGTTAAATTTCAGCACTTAAGAAGAATTGTGTAATTTTTTAACAATTTTAGAGTACAAAGTTATACATTACAGTGCGGTTCAGAATGACAAAAATTAGAAAAAATCTAATAAAAGAAATTAATTAAAAATATAATTTTTTAAACAGGTATTATAGTTATTTAGAAGAATGCAGGTTGGCATGGAAGAACATTCCTGTTGTGAAGGTATAATTTCAACTGACAGGAAAGATAAACAGTATTATCTCATTTTTCTACTAAAAAATAATGTTTTCACAAACATGAATACAAAAACATCCACAGGAGTTTAAAAAGTAAAAGGTCCACCCATCCATTGCAGACCACACATTATTTTCAAGTACATAGGGAACATTTACCAAAATAGAGCATATTTGGGGTACAAAACAAATTCTACTGAACTTACGAAAACTGAAAGCATACAAGTATGGTCTGTGGCCATAATGGACTAAAGCAAGAAATTAGTAACTGAAAGATAACTGGAAAGTCTGAAAACACTTGAAAATTAAATTACACACATCCATATAATCCATGGATCAAAGAGGAACTCCAAAGTAAAGCCAGAAAATATGAACTGAAATAAAATGTGTGCAACCTATAGAAATTTGCAGGAAGCTAAAAAGAACAGAAAACAGAAGATGAAAGAAAAATAGGAAGCCACACTAAAAACTGGGCTTTCAAAGACTGAGGGAAACAAATATTAGAAGATTGTTACCTTAATTTAGAAAGAATTTCCTTTCTAAAGTGTTTTGTATATGATTTCAGATCAGCGATTGACTCAATGGAGTGACTAAATGGCTTGTAATCACAGTCTCACTTTAAGGTGGAGGGAGAGACAGCAGGGTGAATTAACAGATTGTTTTGGTTTTTCTTAGAAAAAAGAAAACTGTAATTTATATAAATGAATAACAAAGTCTTACTAAGATCGAAAATGCAAAAATATAAGTTGTCCTGTTACTGCATACAACCTCAACTGTATTTAATAAATAAGTGTCAATACCACTGAACTAAAGTCTTTTCTTTTTCCTTTTAGGGACCCAGAGGTGAAAAAGGCTTTAGAGGTGAAGCTGTAAGTTTAATTTAATTTATGATTATAGTAGCCCATGTCAGTAGGCCTTAAGCTCCATGAAAGCAAGGACATGTTAGAGTTGTTCACATTGTATCTCTGAGAGCTGTGAAATAAAAATGCAATTATAGTTTTCAGGGGGCAGAATTAACCTGTGTGGTATGCAGCAGTAAAAATCTGATAAGCCCTAAATGTGTTAGACGGTGTCCATGTCACTCCTCCCAGAATGCTGTGTGAACGGAGTCGATGCTTTTTGAAGCATTAGGAGAAGAGGTGTGGGTCGTCTCCACCGGCACCCGAGCGAGAGCACTGCCAAGTGGCTTTAGGTGGAGGCCCACAGTGGCAGAAAAGGGTTGCAGAGCAGAAGAAAGTCACTTGTTTTATGCTTCAGCCAATAGCAATGGTGAGAAGACAGGAAGAAGGCACACTGCACTCACTTTTCCCCACGTTTAAAGGTTTTCAATTGCTCCAAGTTTAAGATCCAAAGTAGAGGAAACACCTCCCCAGCAGGGATCATGCAGCAGCCATAACAGAGGGCAGGCCAGGGGTGAAATGAGGGAGGTCAAAACTAAATATAGAAGGCTTGTAAGAATAAACTTCAAAGTAGCAGTACAATCTTGATTAAAAGGTAATAAGATTACAAAGCGGCAGCTAAGATTGTTTTTCTTCTCCCCATTGGGTGTGCTTGGAACTCAGAATAAGTAAATATCAGTTATATTAATTAACTGAAATGGAGAAATTATGTGATTCCAGATAGCCTAAGAAGCTCAAAAGTCATCACAATAGACGTGTTCAGTTTACAGAAATGTGGCTGTCACCTTTTCTCAGTAGATTTACTATAACAGGAAGCAAGTAGAATCAAGAATGTAAGCACATATTAAAGCCATAACCCCTAGGAGGAATGGGAATGGGAAAGGAAATGAGGCTTGGAATTAGCCCATTTTCCAACACCACCTCCTCTTCTGGCTGGGCATGTTTCCCCAGCTGATCTTCTCCAAGTACTCTGGCTGGAACATAACATCTATGAGGATTAGGAAACCTCAAGTACCTATGACAATGTCACAAGAATGCCATGTGAACAAAAATTGAATGGCTTTGATGGACTATAAGCACAGTGGATTATGACTACAATCTCAGGTTGTACCAATAGAAATATGGCATCCAGAATAGAGCAGGTAGTGGCACCAGTCAGGCCTTCTCCAATGAGGAACATACAAGCTTAAAGCATGTTCAGAGGAGAGCTCTCGGATCGTGAAGGATCTGTGAGCCATGTTCTGGAAAGACCAGCTAAAATATGGGGAATGTTTTGCTTCTGCCAGACTCTGTAGCTTGATCACAGCCCTCTCCTTGTTTTCTCTGCAGGCTCCTCACTGCCTGACCCTCACACCTACTGTTTCTCTACTCCCTTTTTTATCTCTCTAATTCCCGCTCATCTTAAGGTTTTGATTTAAAGACTTAAAGATTTGCTCAGTGGCAGGCAGGAGTGAGGGTTGCTGATGTTTTGGCCCTATTCCATTGCCATTCCTGGAGATAATGCCTGGTACTCAGGACCTAGTGCAATGCCTTGTTGCCTGTTCTTCAGTTCTTAAGTGTCCTCTTACCAGAAGGATTTTTCTTGACTGGCCTATGTAAAATAGCCATGCCCTGACCTTTCTGAGCCTCCTTGCCTTTCCTTAACCTGTTTTCTTACTTCCTAATGTGTTACGTATGTATTTGAGCCTGTTGTTTGCTGTCGTTGCTATTTATTGTATCTTCCCATGACACAGACATTTGATCCACTGTTGTTTGTTTTAATCTGTGTCCCCAACACTTAACAGTGCCTATCTTACAGTTTGCATTCAATAACTATTTCCTGACTAATTGGTAAGCAAATTAGAGAAGGTTTGAGATATCGGAACATGACAGTTGTCTTCAAATATTCAAAGTTGTCTTCAAATATTCAAAGTTGTCTTCCAAAAGACAGGGACTCTAAAGTGATAAAAATTAAAATGATTTACTTATTAAATTATATCTTCATTTTCTGAGCCTAGCTCCTTGAAAGATAGCAAGTTCTGTGTGAGCATGCAATATATTTGAAACCAACTAGTCCCAGCAACCCAGCTAGTCATCAACCTGCCATAGCCCTTGGCATGTAATTAATACCCACACTAAATACCTATTCACTAAATGAGTAGACTATTAAGGTTTATTTCAGTTCAGACTAGTAGTGAGCTTTAATATAATAATGAATTGCTACACAAGATAATTTTGCAAGCGCCTGTCACTAAAAGCCTAATGATCATCTGTGAGTAACTGGACTAGAATTCCTATACTGAGTATGGAATTAGAAGAGATGTCTTTATCGTTAAAGCATAAATCAGATCATATCACTACCCTCTTTAAAACCTCCCTATGACTCCTCTTGAACTTAGAATAAAGTTAAATTCTTTACCTTGATTTACAAGGGCCTACATGAACTATCCCATTTGTCTCTCCAATATCATGTCCCATGTTCCCCTTACCAGCTACACTAATCTTCCTTGTATTCTTTGGAATATGCCTTCCTTTTACTTAGAAAATGGTTTTACCTCTCTTCAAATGACTGATTTTAACTCAATATTCAGATCTCTGCTCAAATATAACCTGAAAGAAGACTCTTGTGACCATTCTGTCATTAATCTTGGTCATTCCCTTTCATAATATATTGTTGTATTTTCTTCATAATTTAATTCCTAGAGATTGCTCTGCCAAGTTCCTTATCCATAAAATGTGCCTTAAAGTCTTTTCTCCTTTGATAATATGAAAAACCATGGTAACATGTCTTATGTTCTCATTAGGACTTCTTCAGTGCATTCTCCAAGTTTGCTTTCTTTAAATAGAAGGTTTAAATAATTAGAATCCTAATGCATATTGTGTTTCAGAATATAATATCTTCATGGGAGCAGAGCTCAGATAATACCGGTAAATGGGGCACATGGACAATGATTGTATTAGCTAAGACTTGTTATATGGAAATAAATAAAACACTTTACGTTTTGTAGAAAAATTGAGACTCACATCAGTCTATCAAATTGGTTTTATAAATCTTAGTTTTAAATTTTCCATGAAGCTGGTTTAAGAATTTATAAAACTATGCTATTCTTGCTAAGTTTTATACCTAGACCAAAGCATGAATCATTGACTTTAAAAAAAAGGCTGAAGTTATATATAGCTCCTGACACAACACGTGAAAAGTATCCCTTTAGCATAAATTTGGTTTCTTGGTTAGGAAGCTTCGTATCTTCTGTAATTTAACATTGTAAAGTCTAGCATTGATCTCAAGTAAGGTCCTCCTCACCACTGACAGCTGTTTCTGTATGGCCCTAAAGGAGGATTCCTTTCCTTTCTCTTTTAAACTTGTTACCTGACTGCCTGACTAGGCTAATTTAAAAATGAGTCCCTAGGAACACACATTTAGCCTAGTGGTTAAGACTCTGGTTAAAGGGCAAGTGTTTGGCACAGTGGTTAAGGTCACTTGGGACACCCACACCCACATCCCGTAATGGAGTGTCTGGAATCTGGTCCCAGCTTTACTTCCAATCTCAGATTCCTGCTGCTGTGCACTCTGGGAGGGAGCAGTGATGGCCCAAATATCTGGGCGCCAGCTACCCACATGGGAGACCCAGATTGAGTTCCCAGCTCCCAGATTTGGCCTGCCTATTGAGGGCATCTGGAGACTGAACACTGACTAATAAATGAAGGATATTTCTCTCTTGCATTCAAACACAGAAAAAGAGAGATGACCATTAAGATGCCCTGATCACACATCAGAGTACCCAGGTTCAATACCCAGCTTCCAACTCCCGCTTCCTGTTAATGCAGACCCTGGCAGGCAGCAATGGTGGCTCAAGTTATTGAGTTGTTGCCACCCTCATGGGAGATCTGGATTGAGTTTCCAGCTCCCAGCTTTAACCTCAGCCCAGTCTTGGCCATTGCCCACATTTGGAGAGTAAACCAGCAGATCAGAGCACTCTCTCGCTCACTCATCTCCCTCTCAAATAAATAAATAATTGAAATTAAGGAAGAAAAAATGAGTCCCAGGATTCATGTTTATTCTCTAAACAGAGCTAGAATTTTGTGGCACCCTTGGAAAATCTCCTAGTGGACAGCATTTAGGATTCTGTCCTCCTACCTCAAAACTATCACATTATTGGAAAATTACTCTTGAAAGGTTATAAAAAAGTTTCCCAGTTTCCATGAGAGCACAAACATTCAGAATTTTTTGGAGTAAGTAATGCGAAGAGGGTTGCCAAGACAATAAAATTTTAACTGATGGAAGAAATATCCTAGTGTCAATCATATGAAAAGGATTTTGACAAAATGTTACAACCTGAAACATAAAACTGAGAGCTATACAAGTTGAAAAATATACAGAGAAAACAATCTCAGTATGAATTTTTAGGTTGACTGCTTAATTTATTGCATATTATTTAATGAAAATTAGTAAAATATTGAAGAATCCCATTGATATTTCCTCCAGTATTTTCTCTATGTTAATGTGTCTTCCCAGTTCTTGAGTAGCAAAATTATTTTTTTGCCTCCAGTTTGAAAGGGAGGACAGTTTATATTACATTGAGAAATCAATATATGAGAAAATGTGTCATAAATATTAACAAGTTAAGAATTTAAAGAATGCATATAAATATATATTTTAAATTCACATAATATAATTCAATTGAAAAACTTTTAAAATTCAAGTACACATTTCTATTATATCCATACAAATTTCTAAAGTGAAATTTTCAACCTCTGTGTATGTATATACCTCCTTTCTCCAGGTATAAAACATGAGGATGAAAATTGATAAAAAGCATGAAGAATCACAGTTCCAAGTGAACTTTGGAAATTCTCTTTACCAAATCTGTTGTTACAATTGAGATATCTGAGCGCCACATGCAGTAATTCACTCAAAAACATGCAGCAAAGTATGAAGACAAGTTTCAAAGACAAGACCAGAGCCCACATTTCCCAGTGCTCATGAGATT